GGGCTGTGGAGAACGACTCTCTGAGAGGCTTGCTAACAAAGAGAAAAGAATAAAGTAAGAAGTAAGCATGGGTAAGAAAAGTCATTAACATAGCAAAGTCTAGAAACCAAACAAGTAGGAAGAAACTCTCCTTATCAGCCATTTTTGCTTGGGACAAAGAACTTGCCCCATTTAATCATAGCATGAAAATGAGCTACTGCTATTTTGCAGCAACAACAAAATACATTATGATTTTGAGTTATTTCCCTTGCCCTCGATATGATGTCAACCCATTTAGTTCTCATAACCACTGCTGAGGGTGATATTCTTACCTCATCTGACAGACACAGAAAGGGGGTATCAGCAAGAGAAGGTAATTTGCTCCCTGGCATGTGGTAATCAAATTCTTAATGACTTTGTTAGGTTTGTGTGCTGCAGGTCCAGAGAGAAACCACGAGACCTGCTCAAAGGTTTTAGAAGATTGTGGAATCCCCAGGGCAGAGATCCCCCCCTCAGGAATCTCAGGGATGCCTGATCTCTTAAACATCTTTGGCAGTCCCAGCAAATATTGAGTTTCTTCCTGAGGCAAGGCTAATCTGTTAACCCTGTCACACCCATTCAAGTGACTCCTCCCAAATACAGGGCAGGCTTTGAGGATAAGACGACCAGAGGGCACAGCCTCTGCCCTCCAGGAGCTTCCAGCCAACTGGGGAGGAGGGTGGTCAGCACAGCTGGTGTGAGCTGGGGTGCATAGTCAGGGAAGGGCCCGGAAGGCAGATAGGCTGTCCTGAGGTGGCCCAAGGAAGAATGCTGCCAAAAGAACGCTGTGGAGGCTGGCCGTTCTGCTGCTGCCTGAGGAAGTCATGATAAACACCAGCCTTTGAGGCTGTGGTATTCAGTATATGTTCACACTACTCTGGGATGAAAACAATTTTGGTTTAATTCTATGATACGTTTGTTAATTCAAAAGGAGAGGCTCACAAGAAAATACTGGGGAGAAAGGGGTTTTGGCCAGAGAATCTTTAAGAACTTTCCAGCAATATAATAAGGTTGGAAAGAAATGCTTAAGATAACTGATCCACACCACTGTGACACTGTGGTGCTCTCTGTCCCCAACCTGCGACACTGCAGGGCCCTCCCAACACCTTTCTCTCCCTCCTCTGTCACCAGCCAGGGAGGACAAACAAGCTGCTTACCAAGAGGGCACTGCTGAGTCCCATCAGCTGGGAAATTACCGAATTCAGTGAGAAGTCCTCTGTGAAGTGGGCGGTCACCTATTGGTAAAAGTTGAATTATTTAATTTCTTCAAAATTCTTTTAAGCTTTTCATAAAAAAAGAAACCAAAATTGAATTATGAAAACAAAAAAGAAAATGAAATGAATGCAATAAAAGATATTTATAAATATGTCCACTATCTCAAATAATCACTATGTCTTGGCTGGGCATGGTGGCTCACACCTATAATCCCACCACACAGGAGGCCGAGGTGGGTGGACTGGACCAGCCTGAGCCAAAGAGAGACCTGTCTCTAAAAAACATAGTCAGTCTTTGTGGGGGGCGCCTGTAGTCCCAGCTACTTGGGAGGCTGAAACAAGAGAAACTTAAGCCCAGGAGATTGAGGTTGCTGTGAGCTGTGACACCAGAGCACTTTACTGAGGGTGACAAAGAGAAACTCTGTCTCCAAAAAAAAAAAAAAAAAAAAAATCACTGTCTCAGCAGCACAAACACTTTTACATTCAGTCAATGCTGTTTCCACTATTCAAGACTGTTCCTCTTTCACGCTATCTGGATCAGTGCTGGCTCCTGTAGCAGGTGCTTTAAACTGATGTTTATTTGATGAATAAACAGGAGATGAGTAAAGATGTCATTTCTTCTTGGTCATGTGACATGTGACTCTAACTCACAATGATGGTTATTTAGTATATGCCATGAAGTTAGTTTTATATTTTGAAACATAGAGTTGACATAAGAACACTATGCAATTTATTAGGTTTTTCATGTCTGTACTTTTCAGTCTTGACCATGGGCAGGAATATAGAAAAATAACTAACACATCTTCAAGATGTCAAGAGTTTACAAATTGCGGAAATAGTCTGATTCTGTTCTCTGACAGAACAGAAGAATTTGCCAGATCCAGGGAGAAAATATGTGCTATGCAAACAATGGCTCAGGCACCACTCAGATCCCTAAATTCAACCTCGTGAGCTCTGTTCCTCCACACAGAGAGGGTACTGAGGACGGAAATAAAGATGAAGAAGTGTCACCAAATGAGACCATGCTGGACTCAGGGCTGATTCAGGTTACAGAACCCAGAGGAAAAAACTTGCCAAGTTGTTAATTCCATCAGTTTGATCAGATAAGTGACCTTGGCTCACTTTATAAGTTTTAATAAGTACATCTTAAAAAGAAAATCAGCCTAAGAAAATTTGGTATGTCAGATATCCATTACAAAATGACTTCAGGTGGGGCACAGTGGCCCATGCTATAAACCCCAAACTTTGGGAGACTAAGGCAGGAGGATTACTTGAGGCCAGGATTTCAGGAACAGTCTGGGCAACATTGTGAGACCCTGTCATCCTATCTACTTGGGAGGCTGAGACAGGAGGAGTACCTGAGTCCAGGAATTCAAGGTTATAGTCAAATATTATTGGGTCACTGCATTCCAGTCTGGGAGACAGAGTCAGACTCTATTCCTCACCCCCTAAAGAAAAACAAATAAGCAAACGAACAAAAAATCACTTAAGATTTGCAAAAACTGGCTCAGCGCCTGTGGCTCAAGTGGCTAAGGTGCCAGCCACATACATCTGAGCTGGCAGGTTCGAATCCAGCCTGGGCCCGCCAAACAATGATGGCTGGGCTGCAACCAAAAAATGGCTGGGCGTTTGGTGGGTGCCTGTGGTCTCAGCTACTTGTGAGGCAAAGGTAGGAGAATCGCTTGAGCCCAGGAGTTGGAGGTTGCTGTGAGTTGTGATGCCACAGCACTCTACCCAGGGCGACAGCTTGAGGCTCTATCTCAAAAAAAAAAAAAGAAAAAAAAGGATTTGCAAAAACTAACCCACAATACTTATATGGATATTGTGCCAGGGCCACTGAGTGGGGAAGGCTGAGCATCAGGGAACTTGGATCTTAATCTCTGCTTAGTTCCTCACTAACTGTGTGACTTTAGGCAAGACATTTAACCTCTGTGGGACTCATCTTTGGCCTCATCTATAAAATGAGGAAGCTAAAGAAGACAAGTCTCTTCACGCTCCGTCAACTCTAACACTGCGTTTCTGTTAATGTAAGACATGCAGTGCGTCATCAGTGTGATCTTGAATTTGGTTCTCTACCTAGATGCCTCATGCATGGAAACAAGAGAAGTAGGCAGCTTCCTGAGACCCAGGATGGACCAATTTGGGAAGTCATTTCCTGAGGGCACCTCTTTCCTTTGGAATGTTTGTGCTGTTGCCCCACCTTGGTAACATCCCACGGCAGTAGGATCAAAGCAGGCAGGGCCACCATAACAAGGGGAGGAAGAAGACCCACAGGAGCCCACCCCAAAGCAGGAGCCATGAGGCAAAGACCCCCAAGGGTGCTCGGTTACAGAATCAACCAGTGTCTGCTGGAGGGTTTCTGACCTGAGAGATGACCGCGTTCTTGTACTCCCAGAGCTTCCTGGCCTCCGCTTTTTCCTTGTTACTCAGCTGCTGAGGCTGGGGAACCTTCCCAGAGCCCCTGGCCTCAATAAACCGGGTTACCAAGGACCACAGGCGTTGCTGCCATCTCAGCACCCCGGGGAGGGCGTCGGCTGAGTTTAGCATCAGTACACGAGAAAGAGAAAGATCACAACATGAGAACAATTGGTTTGGTTACAATGAGGCTGAGAAAAACACCTGTGAATTGCTGAGCGACTTCACCAGGCCCTGATGGATTTCTCTGAGGGCAGCTTAGAGGGTCCTCCCCAGCTTCTAGTGCCTGAGAGGTCAGACCAGGACTGAGCCCATCACATCTCAGTGCCCCAGATGTTTAGAGAAAGCAATGCCCCCTAATCATCAAGGTTCATGACGAGATTAGAAGCTTGGTCAGGACATGCGTCAGGGCACTGCCTCCTTGAATAAGCAAGCTTGCTGTGACAAAGATGCTATCAAGTGTGCTCGGTGTGCCTGGGAGGCATAGTCCACTGACTGCTGTAAGCTGCCGATCTCACATGGAGCAGCTAATATGCAGCGGCAGTGGTCTGCAGATGCCCTTGGAGCTGCACTGCTGTCGGGGGTCAAGTACTTTAACCCAGTTCTGTCCTTGCCAGGTATATGTGTATTACATATTTCAAACACGGTCCTCTAGTCTAGCTGTTAATCTGATCTTCTCAGGAAGCTGAATGGCTAGTGTACTCTGGATATTGGTTAGGTGATGCAAGCCTGGATGCACAGCAGCACCTTCTGGGAGGTTTGACAGACAAAGATTCCTGGAGTCTGGTCAGGGTGGGAGCCAGAACCTGCGCCTATATGTCTATGCTTTACCAGCCCTCCTAGAACTAACAGCTTCAGAACTAACTAGCACCCATGACCAGTGCTCTAGACCACACTTTCCAGTAGCCACGGGACATCAAAAAAACAGTGATATCTCAAATAATATGTGTAGGTCACAAAAGTCTCAAAGATTCCAGGCATCTGATTTCCTCTTCCATAACAACACTTGGGGCAGACAAGTGTTGTTATGAAGGAAAAACAAATGACTATTGGGCAGTTTATTATAAAATAGCCTGATACTCAGGATTATTTTACTTCATATCATCTTAGCTCCAAACAACTCTGGAGAGACAAATCTCTCTGCAAGCAGACATGGAGGCTGCTGGGCATTGACGGAAAGGTTGCAGGTAACACCAGGTACAGCCCCCCCAGGGTTTTATGCATTGGAAAAAACCTTTCTTTCTTTTTTTTTTTTTTTAAAGACAGAGTCTCGTTTTATCACCCTCGGTAGAGTGCTGTGGCATCACAGCTCACAACAACCTCCAACTCCTGGGCTTAGGCGATTCTCTTGCGTCAGCCTCCTGAGTAGCTGGGACTACAGGCACCTGCCACAACACCTGGCTATTTTTTTGTTGTAGTTTGGCTGGGACTGGGTTTGAGCCCGCCACCCTTGGTATATGGGGCCAGTGCCCTACCCACTGAGCCACAGGCACTGCCCGGAAAAAACCTTCCAAGGTAGATAAAGAGGACATTGGCCTGTTGGACCATGGCAGACATGGAACAGCACAAAAGCCAGCCTGTCTCTAAGGAAATAGGTTTCAAAGTGTGGTCTGTAGAATGTGCCAGAATTACCGCTGAGTTTGCTCAAAGGCAGACTCCTGGACCCATGTCAGGAGGTGGGGATGAGGACTGGGAATCTGCAATGAGTTCCCCAGACAATTCTGAGGCCTATTCCATGGCCTTCCATTCGAGGACACGGGTCTAAGAACGGTACAGGATGTTGGACAAACTGCTACTTTGCTTCATGGGACTATTCCTAGCATTCTTTACTACTGCCTTCAGCAAGCACATTTCCTTCCCCAGATTCCTGTGGAGTCCAGGGCAGATCACAAAGGAAGCAGGCCAGGAAGAGGAAGGTGACTTACTCTTCACATCCCACAAGATATCCTTCTCAGGAGGGGCGGCAAAAAGGATGTAGAGCCGAATTGTGTCGATCCCATACTGCTCTACGACTTCCTCGGGGTCCACGCCGTTGTGTTTGGACTTACTCATCTTCTCCCACGTCACCTCTAACTTCTCTTTCGTTTTTGCATGAACAGGAACAGCACCTGAAATAAGACGCAGGTACGGTATGTGATTCTGATCGGTCCTTAATAGTCAGTAAGAAATCAAATACTGGGTGAGCATGAAAAGTATCCATCTGAAGACTAACACTACTTCACTTAATGTGCCTCTGTCTCTTTCTCTGTATTGTAAAAATGTTTTTGTTTTTAAATGAATGAAGCCTACCTTCCTCCCACAAACCTTCCCTTCCTAAATAAATAGTACAGTTATAATGGCTAGCACCAGCTTTTTTTACAAAACAGTTTCCCCCTTTGTAAGTAAATTATTTATATACAAAAAAGGGAGGCAGGAAAGACTAAGAAAACTTGCCCGTACTGCTGTTTGAGCCTCAGCGAAGCACCCTGAGGGGTCCCTTCACTTTGAGCCTTGGTCTCCCCATCCATGTTCTCATCACTAGAATGTGATCTTGTACTATCAGGGCACGTGGAGCTAACTCTCTGGGCTCATGCTAAATGTGGTGGTCCGTCTGTGGGGGTGGCCGTGCTCATGCTGCTCTTTGGAAGTGTCTCCTCTTCTACCCACACACCACTGTCTACAGCAGTGTTTTCAAACCTTTTTTATCACATGGCACACACTTAAGTGTACCATGGTTAAACTTCTGTGGCACACTTAAATTATGACGATCAAAATGAAAAATAAAAACATATATACTGGCTCGGTGCCTATAGCTCAACCGGCTAAGGCGCCAGCCACGTACACCTAAGGTGG